TATACATATATATATCTTCTAGGGTTTAGGGTTTAGGGTTTAGGGTTTGGGAAGATGGGGATAAAGGGTTTGATGAAGTTTTTAGCGGATAATGCGCCCTCAGCACTGCATGTAGAGGCGAGAGCTTCTCTCTTAGGCCGAGTGGTTGCAGTAGATGCTTCTCTTGCTTTATATCAGTTCTTAACAGCAGTCAGAGACGCACAAACACTAGGAAACCTTACTGATGAAGCTGGCAACATCACCAGCCACCTCGCAGGCATGCTCGCTAGGGTCACACGGTAAGGGTTTAGGGTTTAGGGTTTAGGGTTTAGGGTTTAGGGTTTAGAATGCTTACAGTTTAGGGTTTGGAGGGCTTAGGGTTTTTTCTTTCTGCTTCTCTGCTGCTTCCTCTGCTGCTGCTTCTGCCTCCCTGCTGCTGCTTCTGCTTTTGCCTCTGCTGCTGCTGCTGCTGCTGCTGCTGCTGCTGCTGGTAATGCATTGTGTATGTGCTGTGCATGCGCTCGTTTTGCAGCATGCTGGAGCAAGGCATTAGACCGGTGTATGTGTTTGACGGCGTGCCGCCGGAAGAGAAGTCTGAAGAGTTGAAGAGGAGACAAGAAAGAAGAGAAGAAGCAGAAGCACTTGCTGCAGCAGCAAGAGAAGCTGGAGATACAGCAGAGCTACGTAAACAGCTTACGCGTACAGTGCGAGTTACGAAGCAGCAAAATGAAGATGTTAAACGTCTGCTGACGCTGTTAGGTGTACCTGTTGTCTCTGCACCCGCTGAGGCTGAAGCTCAATGTGCTGCTTTAGCAAAGGCGAATAAGGTGTGGGGTGCAGCAACAGAAGATGCAGATGCATTAACATTTGGCGCCCCTATAGTAATACGTAATCTTACATTTAGCGACAGCAGCAGCAGCAACAGCAGCAGCAGCAGCAGCAGCAGCAGCAGCAATGGGGGAAGTGCAGCAGGAGCAGCAGCAGCAGGGAAGGGTCATCCAGTGGTGTCTATACACCTGAATAAAGTACTTGAAGAGTTAAAATTAACGATGCCTCAATTTATAGACTTTTGTATCCTATGCGGCTGCGATTACTGCGGTACGATAAAAGGTATAGGACCGAAGACAGCGTATAATTTGCTGCTGCAGCACAACTCAATTGAAGGGGTGCTGCAGCACATTGATAAAGATAAACACTCTATCCCCGACCCCTTCCCGTTTGAGAGTGCTCGGAAATGCTTCACAAGCCCTCTCGTCGCAGACACTGAAAATATTAATATCAAGTGGGCGCCTGTAGACGAACAAGGTCTTAAAGACTTTCTCGTTCATGTACGAAACACTTATATAATATATAATATATAATATATTTAATATAATGTATTTAATATATTTAATATATTTAATATATATAATATAATATATATATGTTTGTTTGTTTGTTTGTTTGTTTGTTTGTTTGTTTGTTTGTTTGTTTAGTTGTTTTTTGTGTGTTTGTTTATTTATTTGTTTTGTTTGTTTTGTTTGTTTTGTTTGTTTGTTTGTTTATTCGTTTATTTGTTTGTTTATTTATTTGTTTGTTTGTTTGTTTATTTGTTTGTTTGTCTTGATAGTTTGCCTCTTACCTACGCGTAGGCATAGGCATGTGTGCACTTCCTCTGTCCGATATATATATATATATATAATGCATATATAATATATATATAATGCATATAATATATATATATATATGTATATGTATATCTATATATATATATATGTCCTAACCTATATGCAAGGGTATATATATATGTGCAAATGTATGTATATTTCCTTTATATGTTTATATATATACGTATATATATATATATATGCGTGCTCATCTCTCTGCTGCTGCTGCTGCTGTTGCTGCTGCTGTTGCTGCTGCAGGAGCGGACATTTAGTGAGGCTCGGGTGGATAGTTATATTCAGCGTTTGCGCAAAGCAAAGGGTTTATGCACGCAAACGAGGCTGGAGAGTTTCTTCGGTGCTGCTGTAAGCAAACCCTCGGACTTAATTGTAAAGCAAAAGGCAGAAGCAAACAAAGCGCAGCAAAATAAAAATAATAAAAGGCCTAATCGAACCTTTAAAACGCCGCCAGCAAAAAGAAGATAATAATTTACTTTATTTTCTTCACTCAAACACACATATATATGCACCATGCATGCATCCATCCAACAAACACAGCCCTGCATGCATGCATGCATGCATGCATGCAGGGCTGACATGCATGCAGGGCTGACATGCATGCATGCATGCATGCAGGGCCTTATTTCATGCATGCATGTATTTATGCTGCATGCATGCATGCATCCTCTTTTTGCATGCATAGCTTTCCTTGAGGCATGCATGCATTGTCTTCTTTGATGCATGCATGCATGCATGCATAGCCTTCTAGCAGTAGCTGGAGTGGAGTAGAGCAGAGGTTGTTGAGGAGCACTTGCTGAGGGTCTTCTTCGTATTCTCTCTTTAATAATAATCTAATATATACTTACGTAATATTATTA